AGGGATGGAGAAAGAGAGAGAGAGAGAGAGAGAGAGAGACAGAGACAGAGACAGAGAGAGATGAAGATTATCGGCCAGAATGCCAGAATGCAAATGTAAAATGAGCATTTTTCTTCAGGTAAGTTAAGTTCTTGGAGAGGAGCTCCAGATGGAACAGTTTCCCTTGAATGAACTAATAACACAGGGGCGTGATTTATGGATATTTATGTTTTATATTGTGATATTAATACTAATATGATATCTCAGGGATAAATAATGAAGGAACAGATAGAGGTGAATAATGATGTGTTTGTATATCAAGTTGACATGGGACAATTGTCCTGGTTGGGGTTTTGTCAACTGATACAAGCTAGAGATATACTTTGGAGGAGCTGTGCCTCTCCCTTTGAATGGGGATACCTTACCACTTAAATTTACCTTACTTAAGCTCTGTGAAGGCCAAACTCTCAGGCCACATTTGCATTGACATTAGAACTGTTTTTTCTACCCCAGGATCTGCTCAGTTCCTAATTTCTTGTATTGAACTCCTGGTCAAGTGGCAGGTTTAGAACTTGACATGAAATTAAAAAAATAAACAAAAATCTTTCCAAAAGCTGGCGTTGTCCTCACCCAGCGGTTTTTCTATATTTTGAACAACTTGCTGTCCAAACCTCACATCATAGAGGGATGGAGAAAGAGAGAGAGAGAGAGAGAGAGAGAGACAGAGACAGAGACAGAGAGAGATGAAGATTATCGGCCAGAATGCCAGAATGCAAATGTAAAATGAGCATTTTTCTTCAGGTAAGTTAAGTTCTTGGAGAGGAGCTCCAGATGGAACAGTTTCCCTTGAATGAACTAATAACACAGGGGCGTGATTTATGGATATTTATGTTTTATATTGTGATATTAATACTAATATGATATCTCAGGGATAAATAATGAAGGAACAGATAGAGGTGAATAATGATGTGTTTGTATATCAAGTTGACATGGGACAATTGTCCTGGTTGGGGTTTTGTCAACTGATACAAGCTAGAGATATACTTTGGAGGAGCTGTGCCTCTCCCTTTGAATGGGGATACCTTACCACTTAAATTTACCTTACTTAAGCTCTGTGAAGGCCAAACTCTCAGGCCACATTTGCATTGACATTAGAACTGTTTTTTCTACCCCAGGATCTGCTCAGTTCCTAATTTCTTGTATTGAACTCCTGGTCAAGTGGCAGGTTTAGAACTTGACATGAAATTTAAAAAATAAACAAATAAAAGTCTTTCCAGAAGCTGGCGTTGTCCTCACCCAGCGGTTTTTCTATATTTTGAACAACTTGCTGTCCAAACCTCACATCATAGCACGAGGCTTCCAGGCCATACTTCACAAAGTGTCAGGCTCCATGTCAGCCAACAGTGCCATCCCCACAAATGATCTGGTCCTTTCTAGGTTTGATTAGATATAACCTATCCATTATTGATGAAATAGTGGGGTGAATGAGAACTGAGAAAGTGAACAAAAATTGTAGCTGCTGGGAATAGGGAATGGAAACATAAGGAGCCTTGTGCCAAACTTGATTTCAACAGGGCATGCTGGGACCACATCCCAGAAGTCTCAGTTCACATCAGGCAGCTTCAGTGTGAAATGGTTGTTCGAGGTGTCCTTTATTTATACCTGAAATCCAAACCTCAGAGCGAAAGAAAAAGAAAAGAAAAGCAGAAGTCTTGAGAGTAGTACAAGCTCCTAGACACCAATTGTCTGGGCACAATACCCAAGCTGGTGCAAGTGAAAGTGGACAATGGCCACTCTGTTAAATAACACTGCCTTCAAGCTTCATGCTCAGCTCTTTACTAGGTTTCTTCACATGGGAAAGACAGAATAATAATGATGGAGTCCAGCTGTAGAGGAATATGTCAGTGTGTGTAGCACCCAGGATGAGTATGTTTTGAGATGTACACTAAAAACAAAAGCATTGTCAGAATTCATTTTCTTAAGTCTGCAGGTTCTTGTGTAGATATAATAATACCAATTACCTAGCAGAAAAGGATGTAACCATCCATCACCACACACCTGCTGTAGAAACAACCCTGTTTAGGAGAAAACAACCTAAGAAGCTGCATGTGAACAGCCTTTATGGTCTTGTGCAGTCTTGAATCTGAAAATGACACCACTTTGTTGTTTTATTTTTACAAAACAAAAAATTTGCATAAATTTTGTTTCTTGAAAATCATCCATTTTCATGCATCAGAGAAAATCAAACTCAGGAAAGGTACTATGAAGTAAATGTATCAAAACACCACATTGATTCCTTCAGTGTGGCTCCACATACTAATTAAGTGGCCAGCCAAGCACACGACTATTCAACAGTATACAGCAAATTTATTTACTGGGTCCATTTGTGGTGATGTTCTAAACATTATTTCTCCTTTCCCTTCTCAAATTTGTTTTTCTAGAAAGACATTTCAATCATTCAGAAGTAATTATGTATATTTGAAATATATGTATCCTATTTGTATTTTCTTATAATTCCAGAGCACAAATTTTTTGTTTCATGCTCTATATGATTTTCCCCTTTTATGGTCAATGCTCAAAGGAAACAAGAAACGTACTAACTGAAATGGATAAAGCACATTTTGGAAGCCACTTCTTGTATTTCATTCAGGCCCAGAGAAGTTAGACAGCTTCATATAAAGGAGAATGCAGGGGAATGGAAAGACCTTGATTCTAGTACCAGTTCCCGATCTACAAGATGCTCATCTGTCACTTTAGGTAAGCACAATGTTCACCTCAGTCTTGTGTTATCTTTTGAGTGATGCCACCAAATTAGATCAGGTCTAAGGAATTTTCAAGCTCTAATGCTCTGAGATGTTGAAGCCAGGTTGACTTTTGAAACACATAGATGCCCTTAGGATACTGCAAACAGAAGTTAATGCCCATTCTTGTGAGAGTTTGGAATGTCATGATGGCAGTAGAAGCATGAAAACTATTGTATTGAACTCCTGGTCAAGTGGCAGGTTTAGAACTTGACATGAAATTAAAAAAATAAACAAAAATCTTTCCAAAAGCTGGCGTTGTCCTCACCCAGCGGTTTTTCTATATTTTGAACAACTTGCTGTCCAGCCCTCACATCATAGCACGAGGCTTCCAGGCCATACTTCACAAAGTGTCAGGCTCCATGTCAGCCAACAGTGCCATCCCCACAAATGATCTGGTCCTTTCTAGGTTTGATTAGATATAACCTATCCATTATTGATGAAATAGTGGGGTGAATGAGAACTGAGAAAGTGAACAAAAATTGTAGCTGCTGGGAATAGGGAATGGAAACATAAGGAGCCTTGTGCCAAACTTGATTTCAACAGGGCATGCTGGGACCACATCCCAGAAGTCTCAGTTCACTCAGCCAGCTTCAGTGTGAAATGGTTGTTCGAGGTGTCCTTTATTTATACCTGAAATCCAAACCTCAGAGCGAAAGAAAAAGAAAAGAAAAGCAGAAGTCTTGAGAGTAGTACAAGCTCCTAGACACCAATTGTCTGGGCACAATACCCAAGCTGGTGCAAGTGAAAGTGGACAATGGCCACTCTGTTAAATAACACTGCCTTCAAGCTTCATGCTCAGCTCTTTACTAGGTTTCTTCACATGGGAAAGACAGAATAATAATGATGGAGTCCAGCTGTAGAGGAATATGTCAGTGTGTGTAGCACCCAGGATGAGTATGTTTTGAGATGTACACTAAAAACAAAAGCATTGTCAAAATTCATTTTCTTAAGTCTGTAGGTTCCTGTGTAGATATAATAATACCAATTACTTAGCAGAAAAGGATGTCACCATCCATCACCACACACCTGCTGTAGAAACAACCCTGTTTAGGAGAAAACAACCTAAGAAGCTGAGTGTGAACAGCCTTTATGGTCTTGTGCAGTCTTGAATCTGAAAATGACACCACTTTGTTGTTTTATTTTTACAAAACAAAAAATTTGCATAAATTTTGTTTCTTGAAAATCATCCATTTTCATGCATCAGAGAAAAACAAACTCAGGAAAGGTATTATGAAGTAAATGTATCAAAACACCACATTGATTCCTTCAGTGTGGCTCCACATACTAATTAAGTGGCCAGCCAAGCACACGACTATTCAAAAGTATACAGCAAATT